CCGGGGGGGGGGGGGGCCGTGTATTGTTCGGCAGCTTCAGCGTAGGGAGGAAAAGGCGACCAGGGCCGCCTCTGTTTAAGCGTCCTCCATGTTTTATGCATTCTGTCCTTTGTAATGATAAGCGCCAGTACGGAGGGTGGAATGTTGGCCTCCAGGGTCCAGAAGAAGGGTGGGCTTATGAGGAGCAATGGGGGGGGGGGGGGGGACTCTAATTTTTTCAGCCCTCGCAGTTCTCACTGTCATCCCTGCCACGCCTGTATTTAGACACAAAACTGCTGTTTCTCCCATCCCTGTGCACAGGACTATAGCTGCTGCCTCAGATAGGCACAGTCTGCCCCCCCCCCCCCCCCCACCACCACCACCGCCAGTCCTGAACAGCCATGCATCACACAGGCCCTACACTCACAGTCTTCACAGCAGCCCAGAAACACAACAGGGGTTGTCACTGTTGCAGCACACAGCTCTGGTTGCCACTGGGTTGATGCAATACATTTATTACAGAAGCAGCGTGGAACGTCTACTCAACGACACCGAACATCCAAATATGTCTCTTTGACTAATTCATTGTTAGAAATGAAAGCAAAGTCCTATAAACGTTCCGAGCATTACTAAACTAATCTACGTACGTCACCACAGCACCAGGATAGAACAAGAGCGGATGAAAAGTAAATGTTTCTGCAGTGATTTTCCTTCAAATTAAAACCGTCTCCATGACAAGGTTTTCATGTTGCACATTCAAAACGCATTGGATTTTCAAAACGTGTGTATACCCACAAATCTTGGTGCTGCCGCTGCTGCACGCACACGTGCTGCGACACATGCGCATCTTCTCAGTCATAAATCTCGTCTACCGCAATGATTCAACCAAGATTGTTAACACGATAACATATTGCGAGAGAGCAAACCACAGGAAAGCTCGCCAAGTTCACTTCAAGAGGACACAAGGATGACAGCGAGGAGGAGAACGAAGCAAGAAGGGGAGTTTTAAACAAGAGGGTGCGTTCTTTGGATAAAGAGGACATTATGGACTACTAGGGATTAAGGATCAGGTTTACAATTCATTCATGCTGTAAGCACGCCTACACACACACACACTCCCTCTGTCTCTCTCTCTCTCACACACACACACACACCTGATCATTGCATTTCTTCTACTCTCCCTTCCCATTTCCTCGCTGCCCATGGTAGAGCCTCGACCGCCCCCCAGCAGCTTGCTCCTCTCACGATAACGTGACACGTATACTGGACTCGGCTGCAGCGTGACTCGAAGACTCGGCCTTCGGTGCAGCATCGCATTGAAAAACTTCCTCAGATGACAAGTCATCGAGTGCGTCTGTCAGCTGCGCTCGTCTGAACATCTGTACAAGAAGCATCGTATTGTTTCCAGAGAGCAGAGAACACGCACAAAAGCATTTAATGAAGGCTTGCTTGTAATATTTTAGAAAATATGCAGAAGATTAACTGAAATGGAATAAATAAAAGGTGCAAAATAAAAGTAGTGTTTGAAATGCATCAGTGTTGCATTTTTACGAGCATAAATGTTGATATTTGTTTTGAATCTGTGTTAAATCTCTCATATGATTCTAACCACCCAAAGAGGGCTCCCTTCGACAAAGGACGTGGCAGCGAGTCCCCCACGTCGTGCCAGCGCCTGAGCACAGAGAGGAGGACGTAAAAAAAAGAAAGATGCACTGAATGAGATAGAAAGAATGAGATGCACAGAGAGGGGAGGAGAAGGGGTTATGACAGCCAGAGGCGCCATCTCCCCCTTTCTGTGTGATACCCCACCACACACACCTCCAAACCAAAAAACAAGCCAATCCGTGACGGCAGCAGCCGCCCTCATCCACTTTATCCAGCTGGACACGCTGATCTCACTCACACGGCCAAGTGGCATCTAAATTTTATGAATATACCTGTCGTCAAATCTTATTATAGACCAAGTGCAAAGAGTGAGCAACCTTGTGCTCTGTTGCTGTGCAGAATCTACTGCACATCATTGCAGTACAAATTGCTTTCATAGAACATCATTACTTTTTTTTTTTATAATTTTTTTTTTTCAAAAGCAAGAAAAATGAGCAAACATCTGGCACATTCTACCTAAAACGTGCACCTTTATCATTAAATGCTCGATACCTCAGGTGCAAACAAAGCATTTTTATCATTTGGAAAATTAAATGACATCTGCAACACATTTTTATTTCAAAGAATAAAAGTATTGGTTTAAAATAACTATCTAAATTCATAAACATATTTATACCCACGTGTAAACATAAACAAAATTATTTTGATTATATTTTAAATTATAAGGTGTTTTTTTTTCAAGCAAATTTCTTTTGTTAACTTTTTTTTTTAACAATAAAATTTTGCTAAGGTTATGATGCAATGTGTTTATATATACATATTCACATATTTATTAATATATTTAGTGTTTCAGTGAAATACGGCAAAATTTTTGCCGAAGATGAGCTTTGTGAGTTTTATCATCACAAAACACAACACCTGACGGTTTTTATGAAACACATGACTACATGGAAATAAAGCCAGTGACATTTCCAAACCTTTTTTTTCTTCCTAGAATTGTTATAATTAAACATAAATATGACAATGAGGCAAGGCAGGAAAAGCAGACAGGTGAGGTGACAGTAAACATTTCTACGCTCTTTGTTTTGTAACAGAGGAGGGGGAGAGAGAGGAAGGAGGAGGAGGAGGAGGAGGAGGAGGAGGAGGAGAGTGTTACTGTCAAACACCGAGGAAGGAAGATCACGAGTGGTTTTTGGCACCGCAGCTCTTCTACAGGACGCCTAAACATTTATCTGCACATTTTAAATTACTGATGAAAATCTGAATGGTACTTTGGTTTTTCTCTTGTCTACTACATCTCTGCTCGTCTCCAGCATGAAAAGCAGGGATCTGTTTACCTGACCTCTTCCTCTGTGGCCCATGGCCATCTGACCTCTGCACTCCCACCCTCAGGCCAGCCTCCCCCACTTTAAATGAGCTTCCAGCCGTGGAGCCCTAATGTTTAAATTTAATACATTTTTTTATTCCTCTCATGTTTGCATGAAGCCAAAATCGTAAATCGTCAAATGCTGACAACCATATCAACCCCCCCACCCAAAAAAAAAAAAAAAAAAAAAAAAAAACAAAAAAAACACCAGCTTTCTTTCCCCCCCCCCCCCCCCACCCCCCCCCCCCCCCTCTATCTGTTCCCCCCCATAACACTGCACACATCCCATCACTGCTTCTTGCTCGCTCGATAAACCGCTTTTCTCTCTTTCTCCGTCTATGACACGAAAAAATATGTAGATTTCCCCCTCGGACTAAATTTAGACACTTTTCTTTCTATTTGTGAAGATTTTTTTACACCAAAAATCTCCTTTAAAAGGTGGCGGCTGCTTTATTTCTTTATTTCTTTTTTCTCCTCCCTGTGCACATAAGTCTTTTATATGCAGAAAGATGATCAGTTATACATGCACTGATAATCTTTTTGTATTTTTTAGATACACAGGCCTCTTTCAGCTCAGGTCGGTTCGCAGTGCAATATGCTCTGAATTAGGAATATGAAGAACATCTTGGCTTTTTGCAATAAATGTTGGAGTAATAAAAGCGCAGACTGTGACTGAAGCATCCAAAGTTTCCTGCAGGAACTTTGAGATAAATCCAGCAGGTCACACTAAAGGGCAGGCTTTGATTTGCTTTGGGGTCAGCGTTTCTGGAGGAAAAGAAGAAGGAAAATAAAAGAAAAAGGATCTGGTGGATCACACGTGAAGTTAGTTGGAGGCAGCAGAGCCTGTGGAGGGGGGGGGGGGGGGGGGGGGGGCAGCTCGGACTCCCAGCCAGTCCGGGTGTAAAGTCCTGCTGACCCGCTGCTGTCATGAAGGAAAGCCGGGGATCGGTTCTTCCTCACCACACCGCATTCACAGAACACACACACACACCAACCCACACACGCGCACACACACACACACCATCGATTTGCATGTGACTTCGTCAGTGATCGGCTCCAAAAACAAGGCTGCAAGGAGGCAAAGAGCCACGAAAAATTAAAAACAGAAGGGAAACATGGAGAAAGTGGGGTAAAACGAGGGGAAAGTGCGGAAGGACCTAAAGACAGGGCGGAGGGATCTCACCCTCAGAGAGAGACGTGTCGGAGAAGAGCAAAACTGTCCCTGTACCACGAGAGGATTTTATTAGATGGTGCCGTTTTTGGATCTGGCAAGTGTCAAAATCTGTGAAAAAACGGGGAGCGAGAGCTGTCTCCCCCCCCCCCCCCCCCCCCCCCCCCCCCCCCCCC